TTCTTTCATTTTTTGCGCATGTGTTTTAGGTACCTAGGGGACGGGACGAGTATGTTTGTGGAAGAAAGATTGGCGAGAGCGACCGGGGTTGGTGAAGAGCCGCTGTGGAACATGCATGCGTGCAATTGAAATCCTCCGCGAGCCTCGACCATCCATTTTCTTCCGTCCGTCTCCCTCCCTTCCTTCCATCGCCAGCACGTAATCCCCGCTCCCGGGCCGCCGCGCGCGCCGCTCCGCCCTCAGCCTTATTTACCTCCCGTCCATTGCTCTTTCCTCTCTCCCGTCATCCCGCTCTCCCATCCCAACAACAACAACAAACCGGACTTACTTCCGGCGCCAAGGAAAACAGGCAACCACTCGACCTACTCAACAACAAACGCCTCCCTCGGCACACTGACAACTGACATGGAACGGCAATGTACGCCAAACCAAGCCAGTGCGCGATATGATCGTCGGCTCGGCACGCGGGCCATTGCCCCTTCCGGCCAGACCGCTCTCCGTTCGCGTCACTGTCGCCTTTGGCCCTGAGTCGCGCCGCCCCTCTTTCTCCTCGAGTCCCCCGTGCGTGATGATGAGGAATGGGGGGCAATGCTGCTTCCATCCACAATCCACACACATTGCATACATGAACGGTGATCCCCACGCTTAACTGGGCTTCTGTTCGCGCACAACAGCGGCGGCGATGAAGACCAAATTCCAAAGCAAAAAATAAAAACAAAAACAAAAATAAAAAAAAAATAAAAAACTCGACTCAACGTGGCTTGCCTGCCCGTCGCGCGACGGTTTCAACACAACAACGCATTACTCGCTGCAGCTGCGCGCCGTGTTTGACAGGCCGGCTAGCCAGGTAGGCCGACCACCATCCATGCCGTCCGTCCAGAAACGACAAGGGAAGACTCCCGGATACGGATACCTCCTTGGTCCTTGGTGGGAGGCCGTGGGCTTGGCGGCGTTGGCGGCATGGGCCCGAACACACACAACACGTGCCCCCGCGCGCCTGAAAGTGTCCATGCATCATCTTCTTTCATTGGGAATAACAAATAACAGCTAACTGCCCTACCACGAGAATAATAACTACTGGTCGTAGCGAATATCAAATCCCCCCCCTCTCTCTTCCTGCTGCTGCTAAACTAGGTACCTAGGAAGGACACCCTCTCTCCCAATCTACAAGTTCGCTCTCTCGGCAGCAGCCCCTTGCGCCTGGTCCTCCTTTCCCGTCTCCTTCTCCTTCTCCTTGTCCTCCCCCTCTCCCTCCCCCTCCCTCGCCCACTCCTCCTCAACCGCCCTCTCGCACTCATACGTCAGCAACCAATCGCCCACGCCGGAAAAACGCCACGGAAACGGGTCGTCACCCCAAACAACACCCTGCTTGTCCAAATCAGGCTGCTCGCCTCTCTTCTGCGCCGCCTCCACCGCGTCCCAAGCCTTGAAGCGGGCGTCGCGCGCGCGCTGCTCCGGCCCGTCATGCAAGTGGTAGAGCCGCTGCTGCAGATTCCCGCGCTCGACGACGCGCTCGGTGCGCGCCTTGCGGCAGCGCTCATAGACGGCAAGGGCACGGCGCTTGCTCGCGGGGTCATTGCGCTCAATCCGCGCGAGACAGCGGCCCAGCACGCTGGCGTCCTCGAGGCTCATGCCCGCGCCCGAGGCCAGGTACGGCAGGGTGGCGTGCACGGCGTCGCCGAGCAGGGTGAAGGCGGCCGAGGGGTGGGACCAGCTGGGCGCCAGCGTGGGCCGGATGCATAGACGCCATTTGTGCACGCTCTCGCAGAGGGCGAGCAGTTTCGGGATCCGTGGGTCCCAGTCCTGGTAGAGGGCGCGCATCTCGTCGACGTTGCCGGCGAGGGTCGTTGCGCCGGCGGGCATGTCGTCCGGGACTAGGAGGACCATGTTGAAGAGCTCGCCGCCGCGGAGCACGTAGTTCACTGTAGCGCGGGGGTGCGCGCAGTGTCAGTATGTCTTTTCTTCTCCTTGCGAACCAGGGGCCTCCAACGCACCGGCATGCGCGTCCGGGCCCATCCAGTAGTTGACCTGGGGGTCGTCGACGAAGCCGCGCAGCTCCGGATCCTTGACCATCTCCCTCGTGCTCAGCAGCAAGCGGTACGCGAGGTCGCCAGTCTCTATAGGCGGGTCCGGGCGCCCGAGCAAGATCTCGCGACACTTGGAGTTGATCCCGTCGGCGCCGACGACGAGGTCAGCCGCGCGCCTGCGCCCGTCCTGCAGCACGACATGGGCGGCGCGGCCCTCGCCGTCAACGATGACAACGTCGACCACGCGCGCGTTGACCTCGACTTCCGCGCCCAGCTCGACCGCCCGCTCCAGCAAGCAGCGATGCAGGCCCGCGCGATGGAAGTCCAGGAACGGCGCGCCTAGCTCCTCGGCATAGGCGTGGAAGTCCATGTGCGCGAGCGCTTGGCCCTTCCACCCCAGCATGTTGCAGCGGCGGGGCTGCGTCCAGTGCGCCGCCAGCAAGGCTTCCATGCCCCATTCGAGCAGGATGCGCGAGCTGTTCGGCAGGCACTGGATCCCGGCACCGACTTCGCCGATGGCGGGGGCGCTCTCGAGCACGCTCACGGTGTGCCCGGCCAGCAGGATGGCGATGGCGGCGCCGAGCCCGCCCAGGCCCGCACCGACGACTATGACCTGTGTGGGGGGTGGTGGTGAGTTCCATGGCTGGTATGCCTACAGAGGGGGGCTTGGATAGAGGGGCTTACGTGCAGCCGGCTGGCCTCGTCCCGCTCAATCTTCTGCTGGACTTTGGGTGCGCTCATGGCGAGGTAGGTAGGTTCGATCGAATGGGTTGCTACAGTACGTATAGCTGGCTAGGGTTCACGAAACAACAACGACGGCAGCAAGGGCGATTAAAGCAGGCCCCGCGGCGCGGCGGCAACAGTGGTGGTGGTGGCACGCGGGAGACGTCATGGCCGCGCGCGCTCGATAGGTAGGACGGGATGGAGCAGACCTAGGTAACTACCTATCGCGTTGATAGGTAGGTAGGCTGCGTGGCGTCGTGCATGCGCGCCCACTACTCGGACGGAGCAAAGGTGGGGGAACCTAAGGGACCTGGATCTCCCGCCAGGCCCGTCCGACGCTTCGGCTCGGAGAAGCAGGGGTCTTGCACTAGGGGCCCCGGCCTCGTTCCGGTATCTTCGCAGCGGGCATGCATGTCAACTGCCATCTCACACAAGATTGTATTTACTCACAGGACTACAACTACAGATGCGGTTCTCCGGCTTCAAATTCACTACTCCTAGCACGCATACAGGATATCTAGGTACCTAGCCATGTCGCACACAGAAGAACAACCACGCAGCAAGCCACACCCACACCCATTACACCCGCGGCTTCGTCTCTTCCAGCTTCCTGCGGACCTCCTCCGCCGAGGCCGGCATCAGCGCCCCCTCGGGCGGCTTGTTCTTGCTCTTGAACTCGTCGCACATCTGCTCCATCGTGACCCACTCGACGCCCTCGTGCTTGTTAATGTGCTCGATGATCCTGCGGAAACGTCAGCACGCACCACGCAACCAACGCTTCACTCACCTCTCGTGCATGAGCAAGACGTGCGGCCGCCCGCTGACGTCCGGGTGGATCGTCATCGGGAAGACAAACTCGTCGTACTCGCGGTAAAAGTAGTCAAAGTGGTCCATCCACAGCTCCTCGACGACCTTTGGACTGACCCAGCCATGGCTGTTCGGCGCGCCCTTGATGAACATCATGGGCGGCAAGTCGTCGAGATACCAAGACCCGGGGATCTCGACCAAGCCGGTCGGCGGCCCGCGCACCAGCGGCTTCATCCACTCGGCGGCCCGCTTGCCGTAGTCGATCTTGGTCCACTGGTCGCCGGAGCGCAGCCAGTAGCACTGGCAGTCCTCGTGGCTCATCGAGTGGTCGTACTCGATGCCGTAGGCGAGCAGCAGCTCGGTGCCCTCGCGGCTGACCTCCCACCACGGCGCGACGCTGCCGCGCGGCGCCCGGCCCCCGCAGAACGCCGTCAGCTGCCGCACCGTGTGGTCGAGTACGTCGCGCTGCTGCGCGGGCGTCATGTCGGCCGGGTTCTCGTGGCTGTACCCGTGCAGCCCGATCTCGTGCCCGCTGTCCCGCACCAGCGCGCACTCCTCTGGGAAGCTTTCTAGCGAGTGCCCCGGGATGAACCACGTCGCTTTGATGTTGTACTTGTCGAACAGCTTGAGCAGCCGCCGCACCCCGATCGTCCCGGCCCAGATGCCTGTTGGTGGGTGTATGTTAGCTGGCCTGCGCGCTCTACTGCTGCTGGTATGCCTTACCGCGGCTAATATCGCTCGTCGAGTCCGCCCCGCCATACGAGCCCAGCCAGCCCGCAACGGCGTCAATATCGACGCCATAGCTGACGAGAACCCTCTTCTTGCCCATTGTTGGCGCAGTGTTGCGTTTGCAAGCAAGCTGTCAACAAAGCAAAGAGCACAGAAACGAAGAAGCGAGAACAGAAACTGATGAACGAGGAGAGCAGGACAGAGATGTGTGAGAGAGAGGGAGAGGGAAAGAAAGAGAAAAGAAAAGAGGAAGAAGAGAAATGACGACAGAAACCCGCAACCAGCCCACCCACCTGCAGCTTCGCACATATCCCGGCCACGCGCCCCGCGATCGGCAAGGGGGGGGGGGGGCTGTTTCGTTTCAACTTTTGCGCGCGCGTGTGCGTGTGGTGGCAGAAGTGGGGGTGGAGTAGAGTGGTGGTGCGGGGCGCTGCTGATCGGCAGCAGGCCGGCTGCCCCGCGTCTCGCGCCGTGCCCCACCTGCCGCCATTGCCCGATCCAATTCACGCACACCCAGGTGTAGGTAGGTAGGTATTGTTTTTGTTATCTTCGCTCTCTCCAATTCACTGCCTGCTATCTAGGTGTACTACGCTTCTTCGATGTCTAGCCTTGCTTGCTCTAGATACGCCGGCTAAAACCAACCATGTCTCCCTCTCTCACGCGCTGCCCTCAAAAAAAGGATAGTCGACATAGCCCTTGCTCGGGGGGTCGGCGCCATAGAACGAGTCCCTATCGTAGGGGTTCAGGGGCCAGCCCTCGGCCAGGCGCACAGGCAGGTCCGGGTTCGCAATGAACCAGCGGCCAAAGATGACGCAGTCGGCGTCGCCGCTCTCGACGACGGGCGCGGCATTGTCGCGCGAGAAGCCGCCGGCGGCCAGGAACTTGACGCCGCCCTTGGCGAGGATGCGGCGGAAGGGGACGAGCGAGTTGGGCGCCTTGTCCGTCGCCGTCGCCTCGGCTTCGACGCCCTCGCCCGCCGCCGCCGTGTACGCTGCCAGCGCGTCCAGCTTCGCCTGCTCGGACAGCGCTTCGTCGAACCGCGGCTCGACCATGTGCACGTACGCTGGCTTGGCCGGCAGCGTCGCGATCTGCTGGCATAGGTACGCCCAGTGCGCGTTGGGGTTGCTGTCTTTGGTGTCCTGGAAGTAGTTGTACGGGCTGAGGCGGATGGCGGTGCGCTCGCCGCCAATGGCCGCGGCCACGGCGCGCAGCACCTCGAGCGGGAAGCGGCAGCGGTTCTCGATGCTGCCGCCGTAGGCATCATCGCGCTTGTTTACGTTGTCGTGCAGGAATTGGTCGAGCAGGTAGCCGTTGGCGCCGTGGATCTCGACGCCGTCGAAGCCGGCCTCGTCCACGGCCCGCTTGGCTGCCGCGGCCCACTCGTCGGTGATGCTGTGGATTTCGTCGACGGTCAAGGGCCGGGGCGGGTTGGCGGCGTAGTCGGTGCCGTCGAGGGCCTTGCCCGAGATGGGGATGTTGCTGGAACTGACGGGCGTTGTTCCGTTGCGGAAGGATGGCGGAGAGGCGCGTCCGGTGTGCCAGAGCTGGCAGAAGATGTAGCCGCCCTTGGAGTGCACGGCGTCCGTCACCTTCTTCCAGCCGGCGAGCTGGGAGGGGGTGAAGACTCCAGGGACGCCGGGGTAGCCGCCGGCCTGATATGGATATGGGAGGTTAGCGGTGATGGGTTGTGCGCGCCATCTGTGGGCGGCTGCACTCACGTAGTGGCAGATGTCGGTCGCCTCGGTCAGCTGGAGGCCGCCTTTGTTCGCGCGTTGCTTGTAGTATTCCACATTGAGCTCGTGGGGAACGAAGACGCCGTCGGCCTCCTTCCGAGCCCGCATGCGGGTCAGAGGAGCCTGAACAATGCGGTGCTCGAGCTGGAGCTTGCCGAGTTGCAACGGCTTGAAAATCGCCGTGTTCTTCAGGGGCGTGAAGCTTGGGGTGGTGATGGGAGCAGGCATGGTTGCGAATGGACTAGGAACAAACACAGTACGACACGGGAGAAGAAGGCCAGAGAGCAGAAAATCCGAGAGGGCATTCTTGTACACAGAGGCCGCTCATGGCGCAATGGGCTGCACACTTTTGCTATGCACCTCGAGAATGGGATAAGTGGCGGCAAGGGCGAGGGTCCCAAAGTGGGAGGGCGAATCGGCTGCTGATAGGGTTTTAGGGTTGGCACTGGCAGCGTCAGCTGCTGTATCTCGCTCGAATTGCCATCTCGGTGCGACGTGAGTCCATCGCCTCAAATATACGCTTTGCTGGTGCAAGAGGAAGAAGGACAGAGAACAACGTCCTATGATGCCTCCGCTCCCAACGCCCCCACCCGCGGCCCGAAGGCCGGCCACTTCCCTCTCGGCTGCCGAAGCACTGACGCCGCTCATCCAAACCACCTACACCTCGCCCACCCTCAGCTTCTACCTCAACGGCAACAAAGTCTCGCTCGACAATCCCGATCCGCAATGGATGCTGCTGGACTTTATCCGCGCCCAGCACGGCCTCAAGGGCACCAAGCTCGGCTGCGGCGAGGGCGGCTGCGGTGCCTGCACCGTCGTCCTCTGCTCGCCCAAAATATCACAGAGGACTCGCAAGATTGAATACCTCTCTGTCAATGCATGTCTGTTCCCGTTGGTTGGCGTCGATGGCAAGCATGTCATCACTGTCGAAGGCCTCGGGACCGTCGCCAATCCCCACCCTCTCCAAGAACGGATAGCAAAACTTCACGGCTCCCAGTGCGGCTTCTGCACTCCCGGCATCGTCATGTCTCTGTATGCCCTGGTCCGTAATTCATACGATCCAGAGACGAAGCAATTCCGTCTTTCAGAGGCCGATGTCGAGGCTGAAGGCCACCTTGATGGCAATCTCTGCCGCTGCACTGGCTACAAGCCCATCCTTCAGGCTGCAAAGACCTTTGTAACCGAGGACTTGAAGGGCCGGTTAGCTCCTGCCAGCAGCAGTTCTAGCCAAGAGCCAGTCGAAGTTGATCTGACGGATGTTTCCCCTGCACAATGCGGCACAACCGCCAGAGACTCATGCGGTAGGCCAGGCGGATGCTGCAGAGACAAGAGCCCCTCCGACAGCAGCAGTGGGGAGTCAGACAATCATTCGACAAAGTCCACTTCGTCGTCAGAGCTGACTGACCCTGACGTGTTGCCTCCGACGGCCACGATTAAGGCTGAGAGAGAGCAAGATCCATCTATCAGCGGCACGGCATACTCGAAGCCGATGAAGTCTCGAGAGACTCCGGATGCCGCTGTTTCGCCAGATGGCATAAAAACTGGGACAAGCCTTGAGGCGCCGTTGGCGAGTTCGCACAAAGGCATCCCTCAATACCAATTTAAGCCGTACGAGCCTGACACTGAATTGATCTTCCCGCCTGGGCTTTGGAAACATGAGAAAAAGGCATTATGTTTCGGAAACGACAGGAAGCTCTGGTTCCGACCCGTCACACTCGAACAGTTGGTGACGCTCAAGAATGCCTATCCCTCGGCCAAGCTTGTCGGAGGTGCCAGTGAGGTGCAAGTTGAAGTTCGATTCAAAAATTCAGATTTTGCTATTTCGGTATATGTATCCGACATTGAAGAGCTGCAAGAAACCAAAATCCCAAAGACTGAAGCCGAATGGGACGCCACGACTGAGATATATCTGGGCGCAAATACGCCTCTCACCGAACTAGAGTATCTCTGCAAGGAAGCCTGCAGCAAATTTGGACGCCGAGCTATGTGTTTAGAAGCATTGCGCAAGCAACTACGCTACTTTGCTGGTCGGCAAATTCGCAATGTGGCTTCCTTAGCCGGCAATGTTGCAACAGCGTCTCCCATTTCAGACGGGAATCCTGTTCTCCTCGCTTCCGGAGCCGATATAATTGTGCGCAACCAATCTCAAGGGACGTTTGCACTGCCTGTTTCCAAGTTCTTCATTGCCTATAGAACGACCAGCCTGCCAGCCGACGCCGTCATCACTCATATACGCATTCCGTTACCTCCGCCTGGCTGTTTGGAAGTTACCAAGGCTTACAAGCAAGCAAAGAGAAAAGACGATGATATTGCAATTGTTACCTCGGCCTTCCGCGTTCGACTCGATGATCAGGGTTTCGTCCAGGATGTCTGCCTGGCATACGGCGGCCTAGCGCCTATGACAGTAGAGGCCAAAAATGCCAAGAGTGCTCTCATGAGCAAAAAGTTCTTCGAGTCAGCAACGTTGGAGAAGGGCCTTGATGCTTTGGCAGCGGACTTCAATTTAGGATTTGGTGTCCCCGGTGGCATGGCGCATTATCGGAGAGCACTCGCTCTATCGCTTTTCTTCCGTTTCTGGCATGAAGCGGCGGCCGAACTCGGACTGGGCACTGTGGATCCAGAAACAATTCGCGAGATTCACAGGGAGTTGTCGTCTGGCTCAAGAGATGACTACAACCCAGCAGAGCAGCGGGTGGTTGGTAAGCAAGTGCCTCATCTTTCCGCCCTCAAACAATGCACTGGCGAAGCCGAGTACGTCGACGACATGCCTCGGCAAGACCGTGAGCTGTTTGGAGCGCTTGTGCTTTCCACCAAGTCCCACGCGAAGCTGGTCGAAGTGGACTGGATGCCGGCGCTCAAGATGCCCGGTGTCGTTGGTTACGTTGATAAGAACAGCATTCCCAAGGAAAGCAACGTCTGGGGATCGGTGAAGAAGGACGAAACATTCTTTGCCGATGGCGTGGTCCTGTCTCACGGTCACACTATTGGCCTGATTTATGCAGAGACGGCGCTGCAAGCGCAGGTGGCCGCTAAAGCGGTCAACATCGTCTATGAGACGCTGCCGCCCATTCTCACGATCAATGAAGCCATCGAAGCAAACAGCTACTTCCCACATGGCAAGGAGCTAAGGAAAGGCGCTGCCATTACCGGAAAGATGGATGAAGTGTTTGCAAAATGTGACCGAGTCTTTGAAGGAACAACGAGGCTCGGCGGTCAAGAGCACTTCTATCTCGAGACTAATGCAGCACTTGTGATACCACACCAGGAGGACGGGTCCGTGGAAGTATGGTCCTCGACGCAGAACACGACCGAGACCCAGGAATTTGTTAGCCAAGTCCTAGGCGTGCCAAGCAACCGCGTCAACGCACGGGTGAAGCGCATGGGTGGTGCCTTTGGTGGCAAGGAGTCACGCAGCGTGCCAATTGCTTGCGTGCTGGCTGTTGCTGCAAAGAAAGAACGTCGACCTATGCGCATGATGCTGAACCGCGATGAGGATATGATGGTCAGCGGACAGAGGCATCCGATCCAAACCAGGTGGAAGGTTGGCACCACTGCTGACGGTAAGATGCTTGCTTTTGATGCGGATGTTTACAACAATGCCGGATTTTCGCAGGACATGTCCGGCGCGGTAATGGATCGCTGTGTTACCCACATGGATAATTGCTACAATATACCGAACGCCTGGATTCGGGGCCACGTCTGCAGGACGAATACGCACAGTAACACAGCATTCCGAGGATTCGGTGGGCCACAAGCAATGTACACCACGGAACAGTACATGTCCGCCATTGCCGAGGGCCTGGGTATCGACATTGATGAATTGCGAATGAAGAATCTCTACAAGCCGGGGGACAGGACGCCCTTCCTGCAGTCCATCGATGAAGATTGGCACATACCGACCATGATTGACCAAGTCAAGAAAAACTCAGACTACGAAGCTCGAAAAGCAAAAGTAGCCGAGTTCAACAAGTCCAACAGGTGGAAGAAGCGTGGAATCAGTTTGATTCCGAGCAAGTTTGGCCTCAGTTTTGCCACCGCCATACATCTCAACCAGGCCGGCGCATATGTTAAGATCTACGCCGATGGCTCGGTGCTGCTGCATCATGGTGGTACTGAGATGGGCCAAGGGCTCTATACGAAAATGTGCCAGGTTGCGGCGCAAGAGCTCGGCGTGCCGTTGGATGCGATATTCACTCAAGATTCGCAGTCATACCAAGTCGCTAACTCTTCACCTACCGCTGCATCTTCAGGCAGTGATTTGAACGGGATGGCAGTGAAGAATGCTTGCGACCAAATTAATGAGAGGTTAAAACCATATTGGGAGAAGTACGGTCGCGATGCGCCCATGAGCCAAATTGCACATGCTGCATACCTGGATCGGGTCAACCTTGCCGCGAATGGTTTTTGGAAGATGCCAAAGATTGGGTATGAGTGGGGCGTCTACGATGAGAAGAAAGTCAAGCCGATGTATTATTACTTCACGCAAGTAAGTGCCGTATCTCTGCTCCGGATGGCGCCACGCATGCTAACATTGGAATCAGGGGGTCGCAGTCAGCGAGGTCGAGCTTGATCTCCTCACCGGCGACCATACGGTGCTCCGCACGGACATCATGATGGACGTGGGCCAATCCATCAACCCAGCCATCGACTACGGGCAGATCGAGGGGGCGTTTGTGCAAGGCCAGGGCCTCTTCACGATGGAGGAGTCGCTGTGGACACGCACGGGCGAGCTGGCGACACGTGGGCCTGGCAACTACAAGATTCCGGGCTTCGCCGACGTACCCCAGGTCTTCAACGCGAGCATGCTGCGGCACGACGCAGAGGGCAAAGGACTGACGTGGAAGCACCTGCGCAGCATCCAGAGCAGCAAGGGCACGGGCGAACCACCGCTGTTCCTGGGGTCGACCGTCTTCTTTGCGCTGCGAGAGGCGGTGCGGGCGGCGCGGCACATGCACGGGGTTAAGGGGCGGCTGGAGCTGGACAGCCCGGCGACGGCGGAGAAGCTGCGGCTGGCCGTGGGCGACGACCTGGTTCAGAGGACAGCGGTGCGGCGGGGGAAGGGAGAAAGCGAGTTTTTTGTTCGAGTGGCATGAGAGGGGAAGAACCGGCTGAATGTTGGGCATGGTGTTGAGGACGGATTGGGCGAGGTGCAGGGTCGGGAGAGTCCGGGGTAGAGCTGCCAGTTCGGGTCTAGCCGCAACGGGCACAGCAGAGAGCGACCCCGCTCGTTCCTCGACGCGCCAGGGCCAATCGCTCGGCGACGTCTTGTCCGCACCGGGGCGCTATCTGCTGGATCGGGTACGAGTATCGGTCGTGTCTAATGTGATGATGTCTTGTTCCCCACTTCCGACATTGCGCAACCCCCATCCTTCACTCTTGCGGTTAGCCATGGGCCATGGCCTTGCTGCTTGTCGGATCTGCTGGCGCCCTGCCGACTCCGCTGCGGAGAATGCGACCTTTCCCTGCGGCTGAATGCCGTCCGCTCTGCCGCCGATAACATGTGCTGCTGCATCATCTATTTCCTTCGCCCATTGTACTGTTGAGAGAGAGAGAGAGCGAGTGGGAGAGCGAGAGCGAGAGAAATACAGAAAGACAGAAAGAAAGAAAGAGTAAAGAGCTCCACCCATCATGCCTACCACTGCCGGTCAGCGAACCACCTCCCGCAAGAAGAGCGTTGGCGACGCATCGCTGAAGAAGTTTGCGTGCCAGTACGATTCCTGTGGCAGGAGCTTCACCAGATCCGAGCACCTCCAGAGGCACCTGCTCAACCACACGGCCGGCCAGAGCACGTGCGAGCGGTGCAGGGCGCACTTTAAGCGGCGGGATCTGCTGGGTGAGTGTCTTGCTTTTTTTGTTCCTGCGTGGTCCAAGAGTTGGGGAAAATGGGGTTGAAACCATATCCCACATCCATCCCACCTATACGCGCGCCACCCCATTCCAGAACGAGCACGCTGACACGCCTCCCCAGAACGACACATGGCCCGCCACCGCCAGAAAGATGCAGAGGCCGGAGGAGGCGAGGGCTCCGGCACCCTGAACACCAGGAAACGAATGTGGAAGGACGCGGACGGCAACATCGTCACCAAGCGCCCCAACCTGGGGCCGTCCACCGTCCACCCTTCCCCGCCAAGCGAGCAGCAACGCTTGTCCCCTGCGACGCCAGAGGATGCCACCCGGGCCGCACCCGCAGAAGCGCCCATTTCGCCGCCCATTTCAAGCACGCTGTCGTCGCATTCTGACGGCTACGGCCACTCCTCCGAGGACCCGGCCATCGATGCCTGGATCTTTCCTCCTTTGGACCTCAGCAGCCCTGGGCCAGAGCCTGCCGTGATTCCACCCACTGAGCTGCTGCCGCCCGATACAGACCAATTCTGGTCGACGGCCCATGCATTGCTTCCATCAAATTCTCAGAACACTTGCGAAGACGTGTTTCAAGATGACATCTTCAATCCTGATACTGGTACGTCTGGCTCCTCAGTGTCAAGGTGCACCATCTAACCGACTCAAAGCCAGCTCTTTCAACATGCCATTCACTACCATGAGCAACTACAATTGGCTTTTCGACGCCGACTTGTCGGCGCAGGAGCAGTTCTCGACATCGCCAGACATCCTGTCTGGTACGTTTTCAGCAGCAACGCACGTAGACCAAGCTCCTGAGACAAGGTCTTCCACTCATACTTTCGCAACAGGCGTACCTTCGGAAAATACGCCAGTTATCTCTGAACCCATCATGACGGCCGACGGGGCTGCCTCCCAGCACCGCGCAGTGGTCGGTGATATGAGCATTGGGGACCCCAAGACGCTTTCGCTACCGCCTTTCCCATTTGCTAATGGGTCCCAACCAATCCCGAATGACACTGCCGGTCGTTTTTCAATACCACAGAGCTTCACTGCTCCTAACGACGAAACGAGAACTCCACGAAACCTTCCTACCCCACGCCAGGAGCGCTTGGGCGTCGACTTTGAACGGCCGTTGTCGACGATGAACCCGTCTGCGAGCCTGCCCGTCATTGACGGGATCGCTCGTGCTCAGGTGCTGGATCTAATTGATGTGGCTAGGCCGGTGACGCCGGATGGGTTTTACATTTCCCGCAATCACCCTCTCTTGTCTCTATCGTGCTTGCAGACCTACTGCGACTGCTACTTCACTCGTTTCAACACTGCTTATCCCCTCCTCCACCAGCCCACTTTTGATGCCTCGAGTGTGGAGACACTGTTGCTCGTCTCTGTCTTGTTGATAGGTGCCACTTATTGCGAGAAAGATGCTCATCAGATGGCTGTAAGTTGTTTGCGTGTTCCGGCTCATGCATCATAAGCTGATCTGTCAAGGTGTGCATTCACGACGTGCTCAGGCCTCAAATATTTGCCCATGCTGGCTTCACGGCCAAGCCGGACCTTTGGGTTCTGCAGACCATCCTCCTTGTAGAATGCTTTGGCAAGAGCCGCGCCGGGCAGAAACAGCACGACATGAGCCATCTCTTCCATGGCCTTCTCATCAACCTCATCCGGAGAAGTGACTGCCAGACCATTCGCCCATCAACCTCCGAGGACTGCTCCAGCGATCTCGAGCAAGACTGGAGGGAGTGGGCCGAGGCAGAGCAGAAGAAACGGTAAGAGTCTCCGAGCAACGATGCGACTACAAACAGACAGACAGAACTGACGTGCCGCAGACTTGCCTACCTATGCTTCATGTGGGACGTGCAACACGCCGTCCTCTTCAGCCAATCACTCTGCATGTCGGCCTTCGAGCTCCGCTCCACCCTGCCCTGCAACCAGCAGCTCTGGGAAGCGCACACGGCATCGACATGGCAGCGGATGCGGGCGCGGCAGCGGCAGAAGCGGCCGCCCCTGTTCCTCACGGCGCTAAAGTCGTACCTGAGCGCGGGGCCGGCGCCGGCGCCGCCCACCAAGCCGCTCAACGCGCTCTCGCGCGTGCTGCTGCTGCACGGCCTCATGTCCATCTCGTGGGACATGCAGCGGCGCGCGCAGACGTCGCTGGGCCTGGCCGCCGGCGACTGGTGGCACGCCCGCATGGCTGCGTCCTACGACGCCTGGAAGGCCGACTTTGACCGCTACTGCCTCGACTACTGCGCCGCGCACCAGCAGCACCAGTCCCAGCAGCAGCTGCTGCGCGACTTCTCGGCCTTCGCCACCGCCCATACTGCCCTCTACCATGCCGCCCACGTCGCGCTGCACGCCGACCTCCTCGACCTCCAGATCTACGCCGGCGCGCGCCACATCCTCGGCCGTCCCGTCGCGCGCGCCGACTACGTCCGCTCGCAGCGCGTCGTGCGGCGGTGGGTTGGCGGTGGCGGCAACGGTAACGGCAGCGGCAACAACGGCGGTAATGGCAACAGCGGTAACGGCAGCAGCAGCAGCAGCAGCAGCAGCAGCGACATGCGCGCCGCAAAGGCAGCCTGGCACGCCGCGCACATACTGCGCGACGGCATCGTCGGGCTCGACGACTTCGACGCCCACGGCCTGTTCCACTACCCCTGGACGCTGTATCTGGCGACGCTGACGTGCTGGGCGTTTTATCATGCGCGGCCTGCGCTGCCGTTGGCACCAGTTCCGGTTCCGGTTCCGGCGGACGACAGGGAGGAGGACGCGCCGTCTGTTCCTGTTCCTGTTGAAGATGGCGATGGCGATGATGATGGTGATGGTAGTGCTGATAGTGATGATGATGACGACGACGAGATGGTCTGGGACGCCAAAGCCGAGATGCACGCGCTCGTCAGCGGCATGACTGCGGGCGCGGGGCCGGAGAGTTTGAGTCTGGCGTCTTGCTTCCATCAGCAACCGCATCAACATCAACAGCAGCAGCAAAGGCGCCAGCAGCGGCAGCAGCGCCGCGGCACGAGCGGCTTGACGGCCGTGGTGGCGGGCTGTCTGGGCCGCGTGCGCTGGGCCGTCGTGCATGATGGGGTCATGGTGCTAAAGGGGTTGGTGCCGTGGCGGTTGGTGGGGAGGGGG